GAAATGTGGCTCAAAAAAAAAACCTCACACCGTAACCACCCGAATCCTTATAGACATGTGGACGCAAGGTGCCTGATAAGATGGACGAAAACTATTTGATATATTAAGATAAAGGTTAATTACACAACAGGTTACACAAGTAAAGAATACAAATTACGTAACAGATACAAATATCACGCACTACATTGATCCTAGGAGAATAAAAGAATTATTTACATACCACTGAATAAATTCTTTTGGACGATTTCATGACACTTCTGCAGTTCTTCAATGTTGTTATCCTTCTCAGCAATCAAAACATCTTTTGGTGGACCTAAAACTTGAAAGGATCCTTTGGCAAGGTTTGGATTTATATCCCCTCTTAATATAAATAAAGAGATTTTATACTGACCAACGCAGTGTTGTAAAGAATATCATCTTCAAATAAAAAATGGATTTTTATTCTAGCCTCGGCTGCCGGGTGGAAGTAACAGCAAAACCCTGTTTCAGACAATTACTCGCCTTCTTTACAGGAAAGCATATAAACTTTTCCCTACCAGCTTTACTGCAGTTGATCTCGCCAATAACTTTGTCCGCTTTTTCGAAGAGAAAATCGTCAATATCAGAAGTAATCTTAGTCCACCTGTAATTCCTGATTCTTCAGATCCCTCGATACTTCACCACTATCTTGTCAGCTCACAAATTTTGCACCAACATCCATCACCGAATTTTCGAACATTGCTGATAAAATCATCACGAAATCCTGTATCTTGGATCCGCTTCCCGCCACCCTGCTGAAGCAGCACTTCGATCTACTCCTACCAATTATCGTGAAGATTTTCAACTTGTCGCTGGAGACCGCTCTTTTTCCATCTTCTCTGAAAGCTGCTGTTCTATCTCCTTTACTGAAGAAAGCCAACTTAGACCATGAAGTTCTTGCTAATTACAGACCTATTTCAAACCCTAAGGTAATCAAAAAAATGATTGAAAAGGTGGTTGCAGTACGTCTTCAAAACTATTTAGCTATGTGAGCCACAACAATCTGCCTACAAACCATTCTATAGTTGTGAAACTACTCTTGTGCGCGTTCATAATGACATTTTGGTTGCTATTGATAAACGTAACTGTGTTATGCTTCTACTGTTAGACCTTTCTGCTGCCTTCGACACAGCAGATCATGATATTCTCGTTACAAGATTGCAATCTAAATACTCTATCTCTGGCACAGCTCTAGAATGGCTTCGCTCCTACCTTACTAATCGCTCGCAATTCGCGTTAATCAAAGGATGTAGATCGCAGTCCCGCGAACTCAAGTGCGGTGTACCGCAGGGTTCTGTCCTAGGACCGATTCTGTACGTACTCTACACAACACCACTGGCTGACATTCTACGATTCCACGAAATGCAATTTAATGTTTACGCCGAGGACACACAATTGAGTATTTCTTCTTTCTACAAACAACGATATGGAACTAACCCACTGTATTACTAAGATTGAGGATTACCTGTCCGACA